ACCATATTTTATGAAAAAGTGTATCATAAGCAGACAAAATGCAGAATATATTAATCCCAAATAGGTGTTTATTGTCAGGGTTGTGATAACAAAAGTGACAGGTGAGTACAGCAATTATAGCAATCTTTGAGGGAAAGTCTGATCAACTGATTTTATTTTATTTTTTAAAAGATCAATTAGTCTGGGAAGCAAACTCTGAGCACAGATGAGGACGATGGTGGTGTTAGCCAGGAGCTGGTGAAACCTAGAGAAGGAAGATAAAGACCAGTAAGGAAATGTAGGAGACCTGGAGGGAATCGTGAAATCGGGATGTATTCCAGCAAGGCAAGGAAAGCATAGGTTTGAGTAATGCACACTGAAGGCTATACTGACTGACGAGAGTGCTAGATTGATTAGTGATGAAGAATTCTGGTGATTGGGTTACTTTTGCTAAACATTTCGACATTTCACTGAGGTGTTGTATGTAGTTCACCCAAAATATCGCTATCAAAATAATAAATATTAATAATAAAACTCAAATGTGAATAAATGATGACAGACCTTTCATTTTGGGTGAATTTTAGCAAAAGGATCAGGGTATGAAGAGACTTTCAATAAGAATCTGCTCCTGATTATGGAAACAGTCTTTCATTGTGTTGAATTCAAGTCTTAGAATGTTTAAGCTAGCTGTGTAGTCTGTACCCATGTTAGGATGGGCATTTTGACACTGAATTCCCTCGATCTTTCTATGGCAAAAGATGAATTCACAAGATTTAAAAACATTAAATGAGCCTCTTTAAAAAAAACACAATTGACTGAAAAACCTGAAATTTCGCTCAGCCATAATACATAAGCTCATTCATAGACCCTCCTGTCAATAAGATTAGAAAAGTGGTGGAGAAAATGGACAGGTGTAAACAACACATGTTGTAAACAAGAGTGTGTGTCTTTCGTCAGAGAATTCACATTCGTATAAATGTATGACGCCAGAGAGAAAAGAAAAGAACTGATGCCTGGGGAATTGATTCTGTCCTCTGCTCTTTTCTGTCAGGATAAAGAAAGTGTTGACAGCGCTGGCTGAAGCAGAGAAACGGAAATGCATTGGAGAAGCAGAGGCCGGTTCCATTGAGGCTGTGGGTAAAGCTAAAGCAGAGAAGATGAGGCTCAAACCTGAGGACTATCAGCAGTACGGGGAGGCAGCAAAAACCACAAATGCCCTGGAGGCTCTGCCAAAGGTCTGTGGAACTCTTCAAATCTACAAATCAGACTGACATTACACATGCACCCTTTTTCCTACTTTGTTTAAGGAGTTAGAATGGGGAATTAGACAGATAAATGGTACAAGAAAGTAAGGCAGTCGTTGTTTATAAGATATTTGCCAGATTTAAAATCAAATCAGTTCTGTTGAAGTCAGTTTCAAACACTTTTCCAATAAGATGCCAACGAGAGTGTTTGTTTGTTTGTTTGCTGTCCAAAAAGTCATTTTAAGAAAACATTAAGGCCCAATCCTAATTCTACTCCTTAGCTTTTCCCCTTACTCCTCATTTTGCACGTTCACATGAAGGGGAAGGGTTGTCCCAATTCTCTTTTGCTTGAAGGCGTTGGGCTAGGAGGAAGGGCTAGAGACCCCTTGAGATTTTTCAGGGCCAAACTCGAAATCAATAGCCGCGTTTTCACTATCGCGCCTAAAGCGAGCGAGCCAAGGCCAGTCGCGTTTCCACTGTCACTTCCGGGGCCTAATTGGGCCAAATCGGGGCTTTTTTGGGGCCAGCGGCCGGCCTTTTTCGGCCCGACGAATACCTTGGGCCAAAGAGGGCCAGCCAGGGATTCGGGGCAGAGTGAAAGGAGAGGCGGGGGCAGTTTTCCGATCGCACACCAGTACATGCGCCAAACACATAAACAAATAAATAAATAAGAGAAAGAAAACATCTGGAACAAATTAATGGCTGGGGTCTTTTTGCATATGATCGCCCTTATGTTTCTCTTTTAAATGTAAGGCTGTTGCATAAAATAAAACAGTAGTTTTAAATTATAAGTGACTATTCTTTGCTGCATCCTCCTTGATGTTTCAATTATGCATAAAAATCTTTACACCCTATTTAAGACACAATAGACAGTAAAGGTTTTCGAGAGTTTTTGTCAAGTTTAAAAGGTGTGTTTGTGCGCGTTTAGATGCCTGTATGTGTGTGTGAGACCGAGGAAAAGAGCGTTCCCTTCATCATAGCTCAGTTGATGCCGTCAGCGGCTTTTTTCTTTTATTTTTTATTGTTTTTATTTGTTTTGGAGATAATACAAAATATGAATACAACAGAAAGATATAAAACTTTACAAATTTCGTGTCCACTTTTGTAGTCTCAAAACAATAGTTTCATATCTAGATAAAATAGCCTAAGCTATATTGAAATAATTTAAAGAATTACAAATATCAGATATAATAAAATCACATTAAATAAATAAACCAATATAAAACTAACAAACGCTAGCTATAACAATTAGGTACTATATCAAACTGTTTTAAAGCCATATTAAACTTTTATTTTTTAAAAGCCACTCTGAAAAAAAAGATTTTAGATATTTTCTAAAAACAATAAACACTGGAGAATGTTTTAAATATTATATATAAAGTATTTGGATACGGCGATATTAATCAAATCATGCAAACATTTTCGGGGTGAGTGAAAGCAGAAACTAGGCGACCTTTTTTTCTGTCTGCAGCTGCGCAGCACTTTTTTGACGCACCGGGGAAAACTGCAAGTTCAAAATGTGTTCTGTGTCCTCAAACAAGTGTGTATGTTTTTATATGACGTGGTAAAATTAAAAAAGGAAATTTTAAATACATAAAGAGCTTTTTTAGTGCATAGCTGCTGACCCCAACGAAATATAGGCTATATTTTATTACGTGCTGCTCTTATGTGCTAAAACACCTAGCACTTTCCTTTACTTAAGATATAATAAGCAACATCTTTAAAGTGTCATAAAGCCTATAGGGAAAGTTAATGTTTCAGTTCTCTCCGGAGAATTTGGATGAATGTTGGACAGCGTCTGTCTAACTGAGGATGTCATAAAATACATTTTATATCGAAGAATTTTATATCTATGTTTTTTTTTTAATATTATGGATGTGTGCGCTCCCTGCGCTGGGTCCCTCCGTTACTGGCAACACCACTGGATTTCGATGCCAACAAAGTAAATGAATATGATGAATGAGAACACACAGGTATGTGCGTATAGATATACATTGTACAGCTGTACAGTAACGTGTCATTTGTTTGTTTTGGTTGTCCTAATTTTAATAGTTTCGTGATGATGTGGTGTGCTTTATCTGCCTGATTTCCGCTGAAGTGGGCGGATTGAGTGACGTTCGATTCGGGGGATGTTCTGGGGGTGGGGTTTGCGTGACGCGCTGCGAGCTACTAGCCCAACAGTGGAAACGCGACATGATTTCGGCCTCACTGCTCAACCTCCCGGGCGATTGGCCCGGCCTGGCCCGATAAAAGCCCTGGCTCGCACTGGCCCGATAGTGGAAATGCGGCTATTGGGGGTAAAAAAATTTCCCCGAATACACCAGCCACAACGTCAGCATAGCTGAAACCAGAAGTCAGGAGATCCATTTATTGCACTTCACTTGCGCTCGCATTTTACCGTCAAGCTTTTAAAAAAAATGCAAAAATAAAAACCACTTAATTTTGCTATCTATAATCCCTAATAATAACTCCTGTATAGCAGTCCCACAACATTCTGATACTCAATGATGACACTCGAAGTAGAGGTAGAGGTACAAAAATAGTATCGGGATTGGGCCTAACAGTTTGTAATATCAAATCAGGATGTAAAATTGGATCTATAAATTGTTAACAGGCATATCAGGTTTAATCATTAACACTAATATCTCATTCATATATATATATATATATATATATATATATATATATTAGTGCTGTCAATCGATTAATAAAAATTAACTAATTAATTGCACTTTTTAAAAAGATTATTCGCATTTAAAAGACTAAAACTTGTAATTTTGGGCTATTGGAATGTAAAATTTATGTAAACGCAAAACAAATACTATTTAAATTTAAAATATAATTCATTATTAGAATTTTTGTTTAACTTGTAACACAGATTTCTTTAATTTCAATCACTCCCATGCCGTCCACAGTCATTCCTCCTTATATCATGAACACGCATCTTAAAGATGACACAGACCCACTATACAATTAACTTTGTCAGTTTAAACTATCTAGTACTACAGTTCTAAATGAAAAACTGCATTATATCTAGCACGTTTTCAGTTATAGTTAGCAAAACTTGTCATAATGTGCAATATTTCATGCATGCAAGGTTTGCTGGTCTCAGTCACGCAGTTTTTCCTAAAGTGACTACTGTATGCTTAGTGGTTGGCCAGCGATGTGCTGGACATACACTTATTACTAAGCCATACTTATATGCTATTTCAGACCAAATATTTAAAGTAGCATGGTAAACAACAGTGTTTCCTCTAGGATTTTTTCCAGCTGTGGCAGCAGGTCTTTTACACAAATCTACCAACTACCTATGGCGTTATTTCAATGACAAATGGAGAAATAATAATAATAATAATTATGCTGTGAACTGTGTTCAACAAAACTGAAAGCTACGCCATGTTTGCTGGCCCCACGCATTACGCACCTGTCCGTCAGTCTATCAGCGCATCACCTTAAAGGGTTAAACAAATAATGCACAGCACTACTACGATTAGAGTTGCACTGTTATAATTCACTTACCCTTCAATGCGTTTTGGTGTGATTATTACTCGCTATTAAAAAAACAATGACGGAATGTTGTGATTGAGAAGCTGTAATGTAGCCGTGGTGGGATGAATTTTAGTGTTGTGCCCCGCCATGGCAGAATGAATGTAGCAGAAACCATGAACAATATTGCCACCATGCAAACCTGTCAACCCTCCTGTTTTTCCCGGAATTTTCCTCTTTCATTCTGTAAAGGTATTTTTCCCACTAAGTAATGATGAAGAGTAAGCGGCGCACACTTAAAAAATGGTTTTACAACACAATAGTTTACTACATCTCACAAAAACACAGATTCATTTAACAAAAGGCAACAATGTCAAAACCCTGAGCACTGTGAGAGTGAGGAACCAACCAATAATCCCACTCAGCCTATAAGTGACATTAACAGAAAAGGATTATTATTTCAGTATGATTAAAGATTACAGAGAAAAACCCCAAAGGAACCATTTAAAATGAAAACAAACACTGATTACAGAAAGCAATACTTCGTTTTGGTTTCTTGTTGACTTTAAAATGTACAGTCTTTATTTTTATGTGAACAATTAGATCAGTGCAAGTTCATTTACTGAAAAAAATAGTTTTGGTATTTTTGCGGTTGAGTTGCGGGCTTTCTCTGTTGATGTCAGTCTGACACTTAAGCAGGTTGCACACCAGAAGCGTGGCTCGGCGCCCGACACGGCACGAACATGACAATTTAAAGTATCACACACCAGACGTGCACATTCGCATGATATTTAACATGAAACTAATCAAATGGCGCTCTGTGGCGCGGCTGAAATATGAACTGCGTCCTGAGTCATGGCTGGGCGCCGCCAACAGCCGCTGACTATACTTAATAATACTATACTTAATAAATCCATATCAAACAGTCCCTTAAAAGTCATGTCTCACTTTCAGTTTTGGGCTCAGGCGCGTTTTGCATTCACACACAAGCTTACCACGCCAAAGCACATGTGAACTGCGCTCTGGCACACCTCTTCTAACCGGGCCAGGGCCGGCCAAGTGAACCGTGCCTGAGCCCGATTCAGAGCACTCACACTTCTCAAACGATCCGGGAAACGGGCCTGGGCAAGGTTTGGATAGCATAGTGTGAGTACACCCTTATATTCTTAACCACGCCCCCCACACAAAAGCCCCTTCCTCACTCTATTTTCCATTTGAGTTGGAAGTACATCAACATACTGAAAATCTCAGCAACTTCCGGTTCATGCAAATTTTGAAAAATAGACAGTCACTGCTTTCCATTGCTGGCTCTTTCTTATGCCCCAAAACACTTCACCCTCCCTCCAGAGTGACCGATTCAAAGGGATTATATGGATGAGCACTTCCGAATGGAATGCAGTGTGCAACACTAATCACCTGCAAAGTGCCCTTCAGGGGGGCAATATATCCCACTTAGAAGACACAGAGTAACAGACTGAGCAAAAATATGGACATTAATAGCCAACAACATACTTTTTGCTGCTGAAATAAATATTTACATTCTTGAGTTAGGGAATGTTTCATTTCAGTCTGGTTTGCAAACTTGCAATGTTCCAGCTTCTGGTTCAAATGAGTCACGTGATGCACAATTGAAAGAATTTGATCCTCTGAATTAAAAAAAAGCATCATTTCGTAGCCTGCTGGTCACATCAGTACTCAGTTAGTGGCCTCATATGTGGTCTGTGTTCAGTCTGGCTGTTTAGCGTGAACTGCTGATCAGTGTATTCCTGAACCGCTGGATAAATCTCTCGTTCTGACCCGCGGAGGAACTGCTCGGGCTGAGGGGGATTTGGGAGGAGCTTCCCTGAGGGTGTGGAGGCTCTGAAACAGGAGCGGTTGAGGATGTTGGTGAGGGGTCTTGGATTGGCACAGTCGGACAGTGGGCTCATCTCCAGGTTCCTCAGTGCACTCTCAGACAGTTGCACGCGACTCAGTTTGGGAGGCAGAGGGAGGCGCAGCTCCAGGTCATGACACTGGAGTGAGGGATGGGGAGGCTGGAGCTGGATTTTGGGTCTGCTGTTGTGATGGGTCTCCTGAGGGTTCAGTCTGCTGAAGCTGGTGTGTCCCGTGGACAGCTGGGACACCGGCAGAGCCGCACAGACACTATTGAGGTTGGATTCTCTGGGACTGAAGTGAAAAGTGAAACTTTATTTTGGAGGATGTTGCTGTTGTAGTTTGAATGTAGTAGATGTTTTAAAAGAGATCTACTAAGAATAATTTTCTTCTCTTTATGGACCCAAACTTGTCATCGTTCACATTTATGTTTTGAATCCAGAAATAAAATAAAAGCTCTATGGCTTTAACGGTTAAAGGGGTTTGGGGAAATTACAAAGTGATTGTTATTAAAATGGCATTTTGTCTCTTTAAATACATTTTAAAATTTGCCTGTTTGTCTAATTTGCCAGTTTGCTGCTCTGTCGTGATCGGTTTTTATCATTAAAAATGAAACTAGAAACATGTTTATTTGCCATTTTTGGGGAAATGGTTATAAATATTACTGTTAAGGTTTATCTGACAAATAAAAGACCAAAATCATCAAACACCAACTTTTATAACATTTTAAGCATTTTTACTGTCATTAATCTGTGCTTTATTTAAAAAAATGTATTTTAAAATGCACCTATGATTCAAAATCAACTTTTGTAAGCTGTTTGGACAGACCTGTGTATAGGTATAGTGTGTCCACTGTCATATTGGAGTAATAGAAACCCAACAAGTCTCTTTTTTTAAAATATCCTGATGTTAAAATAGGATTCAAATCCCAGTGAATTTGAGGCCCACCGCAACGTGACGTAGGAGTGCAATTTTCCCTGCCCACCGAACTGATTAACAGGCGCCATGTTTCTATAATAACATGTACAAGCAGTCCACAGAACAATTCTTTTGCAAATAAACTGGGATTAAAATATTTGGGTTATTTTTATACGTTTAAAATGTTTTAAAAGCGTGTTTGTAATAAAGACAGTAAAATTGCTTTGTATTTCTTAACCACTACACTGTAATCACTACGGCCGCATGGTGTCAGTAAATGCTAATGGGTGATAAATAAACTTTATCCGAGTCTGTAGCTGCGTTCGAAACCACCTACTACTACTCGGCCGGTATAAAAAAGTATGTTCTATACAGTATGAGTGCGAGCAGTATGAATTTAACTCAGAGAACTACATCTGCTATTTTGTCATAATTACGTGACCTATGTGATGTGAGTTGCGTCGCTTCACTCCCATTCATAAATTCTCTGGCAGGGCATCATGGGATAGCACAGCGTGCATTTGAAGCGTATTTCAGAATCTTTCCGGAAGTAGTAGGTCATCCGGGTACTTCTCGCATACTGTTTTTCGAATTCTATGAATTTGGACATACAACTCAGCTTGCATAGTGTTTTTAGCGAACTATATAGTGTGGAAGTATGCAATTTCATACACACCCGTCTCTGTCACTGACGGCTCTTTATCTGACGTAACGCACAATGAAAAGCAGACATGCACGCCGGAGCAGTGGGCACGGAGAAGCAGCTCATTTGGATTTAAAGCCACAGGCTACAAAAACAGCTACAATAGGTGTCCTAAATCTCATACTCATGCACTGTTCTACAACATTTTGTAGTATAAATAGTGCAAGTAGTGCGTTCACTGAAAACTCTAAAAAGAACAAGTGCACTTTAAATACCCGGATGCTGCACTTATTCAACCACTAAAAGTGGACAGTTGGACACTTCATGCACTCAACCGCTGCTTTGCTTATGTAGCGGACGTATAGCTATCTATGCACATGTTGGATCACTTTATTTATTTTGGATTGTGAAAGCAAAGTTCTCGTATGAAAGTAATTATAGCGCCTCCTGATGATGAATGCGGTTATACTCGTGGTAGGTATTATGGGTAGTTTGGTCATTTATTACACTAATTTGGCAATTGTCAAATTTCTGCATTGTTTAAAAAAAAAAAAAAACATTAATTTCATCACAAGATATGAAGGGCATTAAAACAATTAACTGTTTGAAATCTTGAGCACAAATCAGAATAATTTCTGAAGAATTGTGAGACACTGAAGATTGGAGTGATGATTTATGTAAGTTTAATATTAAATTATAAATGATATATTAAAAAGATTACTCGCACATAATCCTGTTATTTTACCTCATTATAGTATATAAAATCATTACTGATTATATTTTATTTTTTTTAACAGATGAGCAGAAAAGCACCCTTTAAAAACATACCTGTTGACCTGTAGTGAATTATTTATTTTTAATGTTTTACAGTGTAGTCAGTGCTATAGTGATACATGTCTAATTGGTTTAATTACTAGAAGAAAGAAACATCTCAAATATATAAGTTTTGAATCCAAAAGAGGCTTTTCATCTCCATGTAGAAGCTTTATTACTATTTCTGATATATATACAAAATGTCAAACCACCCAAGGTACATCATATTTACAGTATGTATGCAGTTATGATTACAGTCTGTCATGTAGACATTACCTTGACCGTTACTTTTGACTGAGTTTTTAAAATATTTTTGAAATGATAAGTGTTGTAAAATATGCTACATTAATGTAAAGTAAATTAACTTAAATGTTCTACTTGTAATTTTACTCACAGTCTGACAAATTACATTATTATTATTATTATTATTGTTGTTGTTGTTATTGTATATTCTCTATAGCAGTGTTTCTCAACCACATTCTTGGAGGACCACCAGCTCTGCACATTTTTCATGTCTTCTTAACCAAACACACCTGATTTAGAACATCAGCTCATTAGCAGAGACTGAAAGACCTGTAATGAGTGTGACAGACAAAGGAGACATCCAAAACATCCAGTGCTGGTGGTCCTCCCGGAGAAACACTGCTCTATATTATTATATTATTACAATATTATTATTATATCTATATTATTAGTATTACTAAGGTCTGGGTTGAATCGTTGTTCAACAACTTGTTTAATGACAATATTTTGTTGCTTTCTATTATAAAATGCTTGAAAAGTGCAGGAGAAGGCAAATTGGCAAAAAAGTTTGAAGTTTTTAAGTGTTTCCTATTTGAATGCATTTTAAAATGGCATTTGTTTCTCAAATAACCAAGCTGAATTTTCTGATTAATCATCTTTTCTCCAGTCCTAGGTCCATTATTAAGGCAGAAGATAAGGCAGTAGGGTGAAATTGGTCCATTTATTGAATGTCCTATTTATGTCAGAATGTTCTAAACGAATAGGGCATAGGGAGGATAACTGGAAATAGAACACAGTGGTGGGCGTGGTGCACGACAAAGTTTCAGTCAACGTCATTTTCACTCGAGAAAATGTCTAAAGTAAAGCTGTACGGGTTGTTCACATATCGTATGAGAAGCACCTCTCAAAACACAGATGCTTTTTTACACATGAATACTGTATAAATGTTTATTACTAACTTTTCTATGAACATGATTTGATTAAAGCTGTAGATCAATGACAGAGCGAAATGGCCTACTGGAAAGCCTGTAATTAGATCAAATAAATAAATGCAGCATATATGAACACATCTACACACAGCATACATTTAGTGCTTATTTAGGTGCAAAAACAACACTAAACATATATCCCACAGTCAGTGCAAACCTCTCATCTGTATTTTTAATCTTCAGCAGTACATGTAGCTTCAGTTAGAAAGTAATTCCGTCATTCTGAGTGCATAACAGTCCAAAAGGTGATGATAATAGTTAAACAGGGCAGTTTGTTCATAGTTTAGGTTTCGAAAAAAATAATTCCGTCATTCCAAGTTCATATTAGTCCAAAAGGTGATAATAATTGTAAAACATGGCAGTTTGTTTAGGTGTGTTGAAAAATTTATTTGCTCCTTATTTCCGGCTTCTGCTTTGTTTTTTCGTGCTTCACTCTTGCATTTTTTAGTTTTTTACAGGATCGGGTTTCAAAAGCACGTCAATATCTGCTCTTCTTGGCTTTGTGGTTGTTCATCAGGAAGACGACAAGGTTTGTTTGAGCTTGGGTCGACCGTGGCTCATTATTATATGCATGTATAATTACACTGTAATCTCTCAGCTGTGTATTTAAAACATGGCGGTTCCTTTGTTTTCATTCTGGCTTGTTGCATGAGCGAATGACGTACTTCTGTAAACCAATAGCGTTCAGCTGCACGACTAGCTCAGCCTTTTGGTACCCTTTGCAAAGGGTACCGAAAAAGTGGTACGGTACCGTTCAATATGCTTTTTGACAGTGGAAACAGCCAAAAAAGCTTGCCAAACCGTACCACTCACTGGAAACGGGACATAAGTTTCTAACTACAGCTCTAGAGGGGTATTGCAAGCATGTGAATGTTCAACTTGCGAACTTAGTTGTCAATTAATGTTTTTAAGAAACTCATCAATTGGATTGTTACTGATTACAGACAAGGGGCCAGTCGTAATCAATCATATTACGTGCTCATCTGGAAATTAGTTTAAAAAAAGTTCACTTATTCGAAAGTAAAATTTTGAAAATGTTTGCACTTGTTTTTAAACCCTTACTTTATTAAATATGTTTGGATGCAGAATATCTTTGTATATTTTGAACTATATTGAGACCTAGGCATGTAATAAATTAGTTGGGAGAGCACAACAAATCCAGCCCAGATATTTTTGTGATTACAGTGTGTGTGTGTTTTTTCTGCATGGTGCAGTGTGAGGCAGACTGACCTGCTGAAATGTCTGTTACTGAGGCTGAGAAGGGTGTGGGTTTGGTGGGCTGCTGCCCCTCCAGCACTGCTGGGGTTTGTGAAGGCTGATATGAAAGGGTTGAGGCTGACAGATGAAGAGTTCTGGGTATCCCTGCAGTCAACAGAGCTGGACACGCTCACGTCCACATCCTCAACCATCTGGGACATTCCAGCTGCTAGTCCACAATAGACAAGTGGAAATATTAAATTAAATGGACACAAATTAGTTTATTTAATGATTTATATAGCACATTGAATAATGAAAGTGTTGAACAAAAGTGTTAATAAACATAGAAACAGACAACAAAAATCTGAAAACTCTAGGTTATCCAAACCTTTATGAGACTCTTTCTTCTTTTGAACACATTTTTAAAAAAACTGAAAACCTGTAACCATTATCTCCCATAGTATGTGTTTTTCCTATTTGCAAGTCAGTGGTTACAAGTGTCTTACTTCAGGATACGTTCTTTTGTGTTCCGCAGAAGAAAGAAAGGGTGTGTAAATAGTGAGTACATTTTTATTTTTGGGTGAACTATCTCTTTACCTCCAGACCATAAGCCATTTTAAGAAAAAACATCTTATGTATTTGATTTGAAAACCTTGGAGGAAGCTGGTCTTATTTACAAAATGACAGTTTGTTCCAGAGATTAGGTGCTGCCACTGAAAAGCATATTCAACCTTAAAGAGTTATTTCACCCAAAACTTCATCATTTACTCAACCTTCACTTAGGTTTAAAACCTTTGAGTTTCTTTCTTCTGTTGAGCACAAAAGAAGATATTTAGAAAAATGCTGGTAGCTGCTACTCATTATTGACTTCTATAACATTTCCTCATTCAATTTGTGCCAGCAACCAGCATTCTTTAAAATATTTTGAAATATTTTGAAAATTTGTGTTCAACAGAAGAAAGAAACTCATGCAGGTTAAAAACCACACGAGGAGAGTAAATGATGAGGTCATTTTAATTCACATGCAACTTTTGCTTTAAGTTTCAAACTGGTCAAGGTATCAACAACAAAGTGGAAACACATCTCTCCACCCTCTGTTGATGCATGGATAGTGTTAACTTGCTTAAAATTGGATAAGATTAGACTATCACTTATTGGTTCTTTAAAGACCTTTGACAAGTGCCTCTTTTTAGATTATCTGCTGGCTAACTCTGTTGATTCTTAAACTGAGCAATAATATATGAATACATACTTATTCATCTTGTCTTTTTACTTATCAATCATGTTTTAGTTTTTCAATGGGAAGTTATAGGCTGTTGAAGGAAGGTAGTGTTTATTCTGAGTAGTTATAGTACCAGCATGCAGGGGCGGACTGGCCATCTGACAATTCTGGCAAATGACAGAAGGGCCAGACCATTTTTTAAAATGTGGGCCGGCCAGCAGTTTTTTTATTTTTATTTTTTTATATGTATTGTTTTTACAATCAGGCAGCTTTTATCTCTTGCAAGATGTATTATGGTGATGATGATTATAGTAGTAATAATAATAATAAATGTTAAGCATTGGCCCAATCGGCAATGACCGACTGGTTTCGAGATGGGCCGACCCAAATAGAGGTTATGCGGACATAGTCAAAATCTGGGAAGAATGTCAAACAAACAGTAAGTGCAACACAAGCTAATTGTCAGAGATGGACCATAAAAAAGGAAAGGCGGTGCCGAAAAGCTCACAGAAAGCAAAAAAAATGTCTCTAAAATCAAATGCTGCCAAATGCATAAATTTAACTAAAATAGTCTCGAAAGGGTGCAGCGCAGGGGCACAAGAAGGTCGCTATTTCGAGCCTCGGCTGGGTGAGATGGTGTTTCTGTTTGGAGTTTGCATGTGCATGTGGGTTTCCTCCTGGTTTCCCTTACATGTGCTCTAGGGGAATTAGGCCTAATTGTCCGTAGTGCATATATGTGAATGTGTGTGTATAGGGGTTTCACACTGAGTTGCAGCTTGGAGGGCATCTGAAGATAATGAATGAATGAAATGATTGCATATATAAGTTTGTTATAAATGTGTTGTTTTTGTTCCAGTCACATGCATTAAATGTTTAAATATCTATTACATATATGGTACTGCTTCTATTATTTCACCATCTGTACACCAATATAAGTAGTGGATATATGCGTGTCCGTGCATGGGGCTGTTTCGGTTTGGTAATGTGGGCTGGGTGTGGCTACAGTGCCAGGGCTGATTTTTAGTCCCAGTCCGCCCCTGCCAGCATGGAAGGATAATAATAAAATGAATGTTGTAATTGATATTCCATGCAGAAAACCTAATAAAAAGTTTCAAATAAAGGTACAGACAGCAGTAATAAATTGGATGGATTTATCCTATGTGAAATTATTTCAAAGAATCTGTTAAATTTAACAAACAAGTAAAAATTATTAAGTGCTTAAAAATCAGGAAGATCAAGGTGACTCTCTTGACTAAGGTTAAAAAATGCCCTCTACTGCCCTCTGCTGGAAACCAGTCATTACACAAGAAATAATAACAAGCAACTCCTGTACCTGTTACGCAAAGCTAAAACAAAAAATAATAATATATATATAATTACTGGAAATTATACCACACTCGTTTGCAGTCAAATCCAGCTTGACCTGTCTATCTGTATCCTGCATCTCTTGGGTCCCTTTGTCTCTAAACCTAAAGAGAAGAAATGATATTAGCGTTATAAAAAATATCAGGATGGATATAATTTTAATGGTCAGAACAAAAAGACACTACGTAAAACAATAAACAGTCTACATTTGTTATGTTATTTAAAGTGATAAAATATTGAAAAATTACGCTATTGATAATATAGCATATACTTATATTAATAGTCATTTCTCTGTTAATAAATGCTTTATTAACTGAACTTCATCCAGTTTTGTGGCCTAATCTAAAGTGAGGACTATTCATGCTTTATAAATCCCTAATAAATGACAGTTAAAGACTCTTATATTCTTAACAGAAAAAAAGAACATAAACGACTTCATTCATTTCTATTCATTTGAAGATACACAAATGAAACTGAATAAAATGAAAACTAAATCTTTCCAGTCTTATCTAAAATAAAATGACTGTGCAGTTTAAACTTTATTAAATAACATTGAAATGCGAGATCATAATATATAGTTAAATGATTGTTGTTTAAATAACAATTAGTCATTGGTATATGCCTGAATAATAATATATAATAATGTTGATTCCCATAGTTTATTAATCATTTACTTACTGATTCTGAATGATCTTAAAAAAACATCTACTTTTAAATACAAATGATTTGTAAATAATGCACTTAATAACACTTAATTTAGTGAATTAGAAAATTAGTGAATTAGAAAAACTAATCAGTAACAAATTATGAACAAACAATTATTAAGCACATTTTAAATGTTCTTAGAAATCAAGAATAGAGCATTTGTATCTGCAGTTATAAACTGCTTACTAACATCTATGAATGTAGAGTAATGCTAGAGTAATACACTGTTTGCTAATCCTTAATAGATGATTCACAGTGTGTAGTTATGAAGCCTTACCACTTTGTCTTTGTGTTTTAAAAGGGAAGGGTCTCTCACCTTTTCCTGTTCAGTCCATTGTCACGAAAGCCTTTGGCAAAAGGGTTGTTGTCAATCTTGAGTTTTGTGATCTGTGTTGAGAAATAAAGGGTTAAAACCACTTTAATTTCAGCTGCAAGAAATCCACAAAATACAAAATCAAAACATCATGAAAAAGAGAAATCAGGAGGAATTCTGCCGATATTTTTAGATTTTTTTTAAATGTCACACAATTATAGGTTTATAGACCCATTCTTTAAACATTTTAAATAACTTTTTCTTTTGATGGTCTCTTTTTTTCTTGACCATAAGTAGCTCTTAAACTTCATGTCAACTATCCCGCAGTACAGTATTCGTAGACAGCTAGATTAGGATTAGTAAAATAAGTTGACATTTTTGCAAAGTTACAGTCAGTTGACTGTCTCTTCTTGCACCATCAAAAAAGCATTGGCAGATATTGTGGCAACAAAATGTTAATTGGAATGATTTTTCAAATATAATATGCAAGTGCTGTTTAACAGAAAAATAAAAACACATTTTAAACAAGTTTTTTTCTTACATTTCTTTACTCTTTGCCAGTGCAGAATCTTTTGACAGTACAGAATGTTTACTAGTTATTTTGCAAGATGCTTGTATTCACCTTAAAGTGCAAAGGCTTAACTAGATTAAATAGGTTAACTAAACACGTTCAGCTAATTAGGCAAGTCAAAGTCAAAAATATATATTTACTTAGGGGCTAATAATATTGTAGCACAAATTATTTCAAAAGATGTAAAAACTGTTTTAATTCCAGGCAAAGTTAAAGAAATCACTTTACAAATTATATAGGAAGGTTAATAATTGTGTTTGATGTCTTCCAGTGTGCATAGGTATGGCCATTTTTTAATATATACAGTATTCACACACCAAAATTACCAAAGCAAAAGTGCATGCTAAGTAGGAGAATGATGCATTTATTCATTCATTCATTCACTTTGTTTTTTTCAGCTTAGTCCCTTTAATAATCTGAGGTCACCACAGCAGAATGAACCCCCAACTTATCTAGCATATGTTGCCCCTCCAGCTGCAACCCATCACTGGGAAACATCCATGTATTCTCATTCACACACATACACTACGACAATTTAGCTTACCCAATTAGCGCATGTCTCAAAGCATCTCGAGGAAACCCACGCTAACACGGGAGAACATGCAAACTCCACACAGAAATGCCAACTGACCCAGCCAAGGCTTAAACCAGCGACTTTCTTGTGAGGCAATCGTGCTGCCCACGGCGCCACCATGATGCCCATAATGCACTTATTTAACCCAAAAAATTATGGTATCTAAAGTATAACGAACACTTCATAGTCTCAACTGAAAGCATCTTTAATAATGTTTTCAACTCTGATTAATAATGATAAAACAGTCTTTTAAAGCTCATACACTAGCCAGTTGAGCGCTTGACTTTTTAGTCTATCAGTGCTTCATTTGAAACACTATTTTAACTTTTTCTCCTTATTAATTTGAGCCACCAGATGGCAGTGGAGATCTGATGAAAAGCATCTTTGAAGGCCAGCTCTTATGTTTGGTTTCATGAGTTTTGAAGATCACTGATATTGATCAGATGTGATAAATGTGTGTCATCACCTCCTGATTCTGGTAAGCTGTGACGGCTATAAAAGCAGCTTCAGGAAAGGTGAAGCGCAGGTATGCACCAGGGTTGTGAGGAGTACAGGGGTCTGGAGACTGGACTATGTGTAGACGGGGCTGGTATTTGTGCATTGAGTGAAGAACCACCTAATGAAGAGAAATAAAGTATATATGTTGAAAAGCACAGCAGTATATACAATTGAAGTCAGAATTATTAAACCCTCTGAATTATTAGCCACCCTGTTTATTTTCCCCCCAATTTAGGTTTAACTGATATAAGATTGTTTCAACACATTTGTAAACATAACAGTCTTAATAACTCATTTCTAATGACTGATGTATTTTATCTTTGCCATGATGACAGTAAATAATATTTGACTAGATATTTTTCAAGACACTTCTATAAAGTTTAAAGTGACATTTAAAGGCTTAACGAGGTTAATTAGGTTAACAAGGCAGGTTAGGGTTAGGCAAGTTATTGTATAGCAATTGTTGGTTCTGTTGACTGTCAAACAAAATATAGCTTAAAGGAGCTAATAATATTGACCTTAAATGCTTTCTTTAAAAAAAATAAAAACTGCTTTTATTCTAGCCTAAATAAAATAAGACTTTCTCCAGAAGAAAAATTATTATCAGACATACTGTGCACATTTATTTGCTCTGTTAAACATAATTTGGGAAATATTTAAAAAAAAAAAAAAAGAAACTAAATTTCAAAGGGGGTTTAATAATTTTGATTTTAACTGTATACAACAACTAAAAAATGAAAACGAAGTCAAAAGTTTGGAAAGAGCAAGACTTGTTTCAAAAGAATCCAATTCTGCTGCATTTACAGTATTTGATAAGTAAAAACTGGTAAATTGTGAAATGTTATTACAATATTATTATTATTATCTCATTAGATGTAGTTTTAAATTTCATGTTTATTTACAATAATGAATTTACATTGAAATGTTGCAAATAAAAGCTATTATTATTAACTTTTTTTTTTTAAAAAAGGATCCAAAAAATAAAATGTGTAACAGTTTTCACAATACAATAAAGCAAGAAAAAGTATTTTCAGCCCTTGCGAATCATTTCTAGGGATTCTACATCATTAATAATTGATCAAAAAAGAGCAGTATATCATATTATGATGACTATTAAAGGATCACATGACATTAAATACTGCAGTAAAGATGATGGAAATTCTCATTTGAAGCACAGAAATGAATAAGATAACAGCTATTTAAATTGGTATACCAACATTCCACAAATGAACAGTTTTTACTGCATTTTAAATCAAATAAATGCAGCCTTGATTAAAAGAATTGGCTTTATTTAAAATATGAACAAATGTTATTGTTTTCAGATTTTTACTAGCATACATATATTCCCCATTTGTAAAATCTCACCAGGCCGTTGGAGTTGAGTGTGTTGTTGGTCAGTTTGAGTTTGTGGAAGGAGATTGGATACTGCATCCATTTCTGTCCAGGGGCGGGAGAGTCTGGATGGATGAAGAAGCGGTTGGGCAGGTGCGGATCAGATGAACCATTCACTTCCCAACAATCCTTATTCCACTGCAACAACGGAAGAACATCTTATGAAGACTAAATCTTAGACATATGGCAATAATCAATAATCCAGTATATCATAATAACGAACATCGTGAACATGTCAAGTATAGTGAATAATTATTTACCATTTTAACTTTTAGAGAGGTTGTTGACAATTTTTAGTTTGTTGTGTTGCCTGTGATGTTCATCATAGAATATTTGAAGACCTAATGGTTATTTATTTTCATAAACATTCTAATTTGACCAGTGTCAATGAAAATGTGTGACTATTTACTGTCATTTTGTTAATTAATTCTGCAGTAAGGATTCATTTGTTAACATCAGCTAATTTGACTAAAGTCAGTGTGATGTGAAGTTCCTAGTTAATGCCTAACAATAAGATCAAAGTTGTAATCATATTATTAAATGGAGTTAAAAAAGAATACAATTTAGTTGTATTTTTATTAACTATAGCTATAGGGTGATACGGTGGCTGAGTGGTTAGCACTGTTGTCTCACAACAAGAAGGTTGCTGGTTCGAGTCCTGGCATTTCTGTGTGGAGTTTACATGTTCTTCACATGTTTGTATGAGGTTGAATAAGCTAAATTGGCTGTAATGTATGGGTGTGTATGGCTGTTTTGTAGTACTGGATTGCAGGTGGAAGGGCATCCACTGTGCAAAACATATGCTGGATAAGTTGGCGGTTCATTCCACTGTGAAAACATCTGATGAAAAAAGGGACTAAGCCAAAGGAATATAATGAATGAATGATTTTCAAACAAACAAATACATTAAATAATACATTATATAAATATATTAATTATACAAATACATTAACCAAAAATAATCAAAGATTGTCAATTAATAAATGAACTATAATATTGTTATATGATAAATATTTCATTTACTAGTGTGACTTTATTGTAAATTGTTACCTATTGTACCTTATCATCCTTTTTCAATGTAATAAGACTTTTTTTACACTGAACATATATACAGTAAAGCAATACACTGTTTTTTTTTAATAATAATTGTTGAAGTCATCTTTTTTGCAGCTTATGTCAATACTGTGATAATTCTGTATTGTGTGATAAATGCTTCAGCCAATATTTGCAACAATAACATTTGATGATGGCAAAAGCTAATTAATATATATCATAACTTTTCAACCACTTATTTTCTGAATATATTTACTGAAATGTGCTTTAGATAACCCAGACTAGTATTTTAAGGTCATCTTTGCAAAACATCTCTTACTTTTAAAAGTGTTTTCTCGAGTTTGTTTTTGTCAATACTGATTAAGATTTTAACAGAGCTTATTTAAATATTTCCCAGGGAAATTTTCACATTATGTCTAATAATATTTTTCTTCTGGAGAAAGTCTTATTTGATTTCTTTTGGCTTAAATAAAAGCATTTTTTTTTATTTAAGGTCAAAATTTATTAGCCCTTTATTTTATCTTTTTTTTTTTTTTTTTGATAGTCTACAAAACAAACCACCGTTATACAATAACTTGCCTAATTACCCTAACCTGCCCAGTTAACCTAATTAACCTAGTTAAGCCTTTAAATGTCACTTTAAGCTGTAAAGAAGTGTCTTAAAAAACATCTAGTCAAATATTATTAACTGTCATCATGGCAAAGATAAAATAAATCAGTTATTATAAATTAGTTTTTAATTATTACGTTTAGAAATGTGTTGAGAAAATCTGCTCTCTGTTAAACAGAAATATGCCCGTGTGTGTGTGTGTGTGTGTGTGTGTGTGTGTGTGTGTGTGTGTGGAGGGGAGGTACCTTGTACTTGTGGTTATCAAACGGCACCATGTCCATTATCACCACATACTTGACTTTTGGATTTAGTCCTGTCACTGTTACTTTGCAGCTGGGAAACATCCGTCTGAAATAAAAGCACACCGGAAACACACCATAACAATTAGTCATCACATATTTGCAGCATCCTCCATTATGTGCATTGAGATTGTGAAGTCCATGAGCCCATAACTATTCAGCAAATGAATGATTCACAGCATCTTTTTTATACATTCATAAATATATCAATACACTATTCCAGCTTGAAAATAAATACATATTTGCAAACTAATATTTCACTGGACCAATGTCACAAAGGTTTATTTATAATTCAAGTGTAAAAATGAATCCTTTTTTCACTATTTGAGCATTTACATTTTCATAAATGTGATATTTAAGCAGAATTGAATAAGCTAAATTGACCATAGTGTATGTGTAAATGAGTGTGGCTGGGTGCTTCCCTAGTACTGGGTTGCAGCTGGAAGGGCATCCGCTGTGTAATATGTTGGATAAGTTGGCGGTTTACTCCGCTGTACCAACCCCTGATGAACACAAGGACTAAGCCGAAGGAAAATTATTGAATGAATGATATTCAAACTATTTTCTAAACTCACACATTTACAAAACTATAATCAAACATTGTTTTTTCCTGTTGCATCACCAAAACAAACCCTCTTTTTTAAGTGTAACATTGCAGAAACATAGTAATTACTGCTGAAAAGATCCAATCGTAAAATAGACTCCTAAAATATCGCGTTTTGGCCAGGAAGTGTACATTTGTTACATCACTAACAAGCAAACGAACAAGTGACCTAAACAAGTACACTATTTATAGTCAATTTTGCCATTTGACACAGGCGTATGTGCATACCTGCCAGATTTAGTTATGAGCATCTCTGTGCCGATACTACTGAATTTGTCCCACAGCTCTCGATCTTGCAGTGACACATGAACAGGCAGTGAAGTCAGCTCAGCTTCAGCACTGTTCATCCTGCTGTACTGAGTCCGGCAATCTAATCCATACAATTAAAAAAACTGTTACACTTGGGATCTTAAGGAAATAAATTCATCATTGTATTTCAAAATTCTATACCTTTTCTATATTCTTTATATATATTTAGTTTCATCAACATTCTCCATTAAAAACAACAGCAGCATTATCTAGAACTGTGATTTAACAGGTTAAAATACTACAAATGAATGATTTGAAAATATTTTTAATGTTCCATTCATAACAGTATTCACTGTAATGAATTTGTATTCATAAATGCTGAGTTCTACACTTATTTTGTCCCAGAGCTAATCAAATAAGTTAACTTGATAATTGATCATAAAACATACAGAGTCTTACAGAGATTGTGTTTCAGCTTATTTTAAATTATTAGTATTTACAATATCTACACAATTTTAGAACTGTTTTAGAAAACAAGAATAGAGAATATTAGAATTAGTAACAATATTAGGATTGCAATTTCACAATTCCACAGAGTTCATTCATGTAGTCACAACACAAAATGATGAAAATGATCAAGTTAACGTTAAAGTGTTATGAACATACACCAATTATGTTCTCGCCAAAAAACTCAAGAGTTGTGTTGTTTCGACTCATTTTAAATAAGCAGTTTGAGCAAGCAGAAAAATCTTTTTTTAAATGTATATTTAAAATAAACCTGAAATTTGACATTCTTTAATATAAGGAACGTGAAATTCCTACCTTGTGGATAGTATCCATAGTTATTAGCCAAATGATTCATCTGGTAGGGTAAGTCCAGCACAGGCCGTTCCTCTGGGAGATACATGTCCACCAGACTGAAGCTACAAACTGACTAGGCTTCTACCTTCTTCCATCACTTCAAAGGGGGCCAGAGGTGTGTATGTGCACTTCTGTCAAAACATCAGTCTCCTCTTTGATCTGTCTTTTGTCTCCAGCCAGCCCACAAAGGTGTGTAGAAACAACATTGAGAGGAATTGAGGGGGAAACGGGGTCCGTCTTTCTTTAGAGGCCAAGGCTTCCCTGACACTTCCTCCAAACCCATAGAGACGCACATATAGGTGTTAATCACCCCAGCAGTTTGTCCCCTCATTACTGCAGGAAGTCTTCACCACTCTTGAATGCCACACTCTCAGAACTGTCAAAGTTCCATGTTTGGTGGATATTTTCCAATTCTCAACATTCAAATCTGCTTACAGGTAATTTGCTGAGGGTGTTTACTGAAAGCTGAGCAGAGTCATCCTGGATGCACATTTATGACAACTTGAGTGCATTTCTATATTGGTTTTGAATGTGTTTAGACTTTCTAACAGTGTGGCAAACATAATAATAATAATAATAATAAAGAATAACAACAAAGATATGCATTTCAAAGCATACTTTAAGATAACAGCCTGATTCATATATATATATATATATATATATATATATATATATATATATATATATAAACAGAGTATAACAGTATCAACAACAATGCACAATAATGGCTTTTTTATTGTTAGTGACACTTTCAATTAATTTTTAATTTATTTCATTATTTTAACACAAAGTAAAAAAAAACAGTTTGAAAAAAGGTGAAAAACTAAAGAAAGAAAAAAAAAACACGTAAACAAATAGATCAGAAGCTGGCACTTTTAATGCTTGAGCTAAAGCGGGATGGATTCTGATTGGCTGTCAGTGGTCCTATTGTTCAACAGCTTGAAAACATTCATTTGGAATTATTCATTCATCTTATGTCTTTTTTAGTTGTAGTCTTTAATGCTAACATTGGTTATCATCCCTATCAAACCACGCAGAATCTTTGTAACTAACTTGAAACCAAACCTTTGCAAAATATGTAAGGGCTTATTTTTTGCTCTTGAGAATGCTAGTACTGCTAATTCTTTAATCAACAGAGGAGAAGCAAATGTGACTGCATATTTAATCTAAAATAACTTTTTGAGAAGCCAATGATTGGCTTTAAAGAGCTCATTGTGTATTTTTTCTGCTTTAAAAGGCCATCTTTCATAAAATAATCACCAATTGCTGCTTAAATTAATTTAGAAAAATATCATGTCAAGATAAATTAAGTCAAGGTTTCTTTATTTCTAAAGAAGTATTTGTTCATAGGAAGCACATTAAATGCAAGCAAGTTCTGTGAAAATAAAATACGGGTTTATTCTATTCATCATTCAGCATGATATATTTATGTAAAAATTAAATATTTTATTTTCATAATGAACCTGTTAAAATGGCAAGAGGAAAACACTAAACTTTGGTTGAGCAATAAAAATTTTTGGGGGGTGGGGGGAGAAGGGAAAACTGCAGCTTTACCCAGAATACAGTTTTAATGTGCTTTAAAGAAAATAGCTCGTAAAATAACCTAAAAACACTTTGGCCAGGTCATCACACCACTATGTCACAACAAATAAACTGCATATACAGTAGACCAAAACAATTATGAAATTACTGATATTCTATGCAGTTGAAGTCAGAATTATTAGCCCTCCTGAACTATTAGCCCCGTTTATCTTTTCCTCAATTTCTAATCATAATAGTTTTAATAACTCATTTCTAATAACGAATTTATTTTATCTTTGCCATGATGACAGTAAATAATTTTTAACTAGATATTTTTCAAGACACTTCTATACAGCTAAAAGTGCCATTTAATAGCTTAACTAGGTTAATTAGCTTAACTAGGCGGGTTGGGGTAATTAGGCAAGTTATTGTATAACAATGGTTTGTTCTGTAGACTTTCAAAAATATATAGCTTAAAGGAGCTAATATTTAAAAAAAAAAAAAATTTTTTTCAACTAGCCAAAATAAAACAAATAAGACCTTTTCTAGAAGAAAAAAATTTTCAGACATACTTTAAAAACTTTTAAAAGAAGGGGGGGTTGCGTTGACATGCCAGGTTTATCACAATATAATAAATTTGCTGAATCAAGTTTAATTTACTATTTAGTAAGCTATGTCAACTTAAATCAATTAAAATTACTTGAAAAAAAACTTATCTAGTTTATGCAAATTACTTATATAGTCAACATTTGTACAACTTACAAAAAAAATACATTTGAAACCTCATCAACTTAATAAAATAATTTAAAGTAAGAAAAACTTGTGTTGTCATGACTATATAATATATTTTTACAGTGCAAACAACTAGATTAGAAACCAGGGAAGAGAAACAAAATATAATAATGAAAATATATATATGTATTCCACTTTAATGGATGTATAAAGCACACAAAATATTAATCATGTAAACCGATTAAAAGCTCAAATAAACCATATATGCAAACTTAAAGTTTAGCAAAAACGCTATCCACCAAGACACCAGAAAAAAAAGACTGAAGATCTCTAATGTTGTATTTGCCCTGAACCTTTAATCATTAATGCTTCCTAATGCATTTACAATCATGCTTTAGCTTACAGTAAACTAGATAAAGAACAAGTCACTAAACATCTTAAGTGTTTTTTTTTCTAAATACAGCTGACACAGTAAGATTCTCCTCCAGCAATTGAGTGCACACTCTTAATGCCAGCACCCGAAAAGAGATGAAATGGTCCTAAATCCGTCAGATCAGGTGAAAATTGGTGTTTTATAAGAGCTCTGGAGGGCAGTTTCCAGCTCTCCTCATGTCTAGCTGGCCACCGTGACTCTTTTCTGAAAAATCATCACAGATTAGCAGAAATGGCCATTTATTTGAGAGGCAGATAAGGTGCCAGAGGTTTGCTGAATGCTGGTGTCCCTCAGATAGGCCACAATCTCCCTGCTATCTGTTAACGTGACCCGAGCAGCCACAAACAACCCCCTGTCCCACCCTAACTGGAGTCTGTCTCCAGTAGAACTTTCACATCCTAATGAGGAGCTCAGGTTCATTATTCACCACTCACACAGAGCTATGAGAACAGACACCCAGAGCTGAATCACTATAGTAATTCTGTACACTGTAATCCATCAATCTGCCATCTTCAGATGGGTGTACAACAAATGAGAACTTTAAGATTTTGATTCATTTCACAGCAAAATGAACAATATACAGTGCTCAGCGTAATTGAGTACAGCCCGTTTTAAAGATGAATATTTTTCTCCCGTTCTCAGTCAATATAGCAATGTATTAAACAAAACAGATTTAATAAACAAATATAATTATTAATGTAATATTTTAGTCACCAAACATATTGAGAAATTTAAAGACAATACAATTAAATTTTTGTTAAATATTGCGAAATAAATTACAACTTAAATTTTAACCACATTTGTCAATTTTTTTATTTAATTTATTTATTTATTTTTTGCTCCTCTTAATGTTTCCTCTTTTTTTAAATTTGTATTTAAGATTTTTCTATAACATATAAATTTGGGTGTAGTAGTTTTTGGATTGTTATCATAAGTTATTTAGCTCCACATTTGTCTTCAGTACTGACTAATCAATGTAAATGCACAAATATAATATTGTATAGCTTCCTAGTAAAAATATGAAGTTAAAAGAGATTTGTGAGGGGTGTACCTACTTATGCTGTATTGGTGTATTTTTACAAAACAATTTTTTTTACACTTATTAACATGAGTGAGGTCACCTTACATCATTAGGATATCCTTAGGATAAGTTTGAATAAGGCATTTCAATTTTCTAAAAAGTTAAATCTAACATTATGTATGTTAATTTAATTAAGTTAAATTATTATTTGGTAATGATATTTTCAGTTTCCTTGGGTCTTTTGGTTACTAACTAACCTAATGTAAGACCAATAAAGCAGATCTGCAGGCATTTGGCTAGTGTACACTGTAAAATATTATATGTAAAATATCCATATTTTGTGATTCATGTTTTTTCCCTGTTTAATTATGCTTTTAATTTGCATTATTGGTCTTTGATCAAAGAATGGCAAAATATATGATGTATTTTTACAATTTTTTTTATTTACACTTATTAACACGAGTGAGTAGGCTTGGGCGGTATCCAAATTTTGATACCGTCAAACCTCCACCCTATTTTACCTCGGTATACGATATTACCATAATATAAAACCATGACTTAAACTCTGTATAATAAAAAACTATGATGTAAGGCTCGGACAGCGTCACAAAACTGTTTGCTTGTGCCTAAACCATTCAGAAACTGAATACTGTATATGCAACCTTAGGTTCACGGTCACCTGTTTGTTGCACAATTTGCAAATTGTCTTGTTCATATTTACCACGTCTCCCTTCTTGTTCTGTCGAAACCCGAAATACTGCCAAACTGCAGAGGTTGTGTTCTTTTTTGAGATCAGGTCACTTGGTGCGCGACTTGCCATATTGTCTCACCTCTATCTTTCTCCTCTACATTGTCCCGTGATGACAATCACGCATACGCATTTTTAAGCATTATATAAATAATATTTAATATTTGTCTCGTATATTAGTGCATTGTTTTTATGACGGTAACGGTACTGAAACTGATACAATTGCCATTTTTAGATCCTGCGGTATACCATATTACCCCCCAAGCCTACGAGTGAGGTCACCTTACATCATGAAGATATCAAAAGCATAAAATAAAATAATGCATTTCAATTTTCTGCAAAAGACATTACATTGTAAAACAAGTTAAATCTAATATTATGTATGTTAATCACAATTGTATTTTATCTTTTTTGCAGACACATTTTCATTGGTTTGTACTTATGATCCTAAATCATTATTTGGTAATGATATTTTCAGTTTTGTTTTGTCTTTGGTTACTGACTAATCTAATGTAAAACCAAGAAAGCAGATCTGCGTGTATTTTGGCTAGTGTACACAGTAAAAAAAAATGGTAAAATATTTGTATTTTTGATTCATGTTTTTATTTTTCCTGTTTAATTATGCTTTTAATTTGCATTATTGGTCTTTGATCAAAGAATGGCAAAATATATGATGTATTTTTACAATTTTTTTTATTTACACTTATTAACACGAGTGAGTAGGCTTGGGCGGTATCCAAATTTTGATACCGTCAAACCTCCACCCTATTTTACCTCGGTATTCGATATTACCATAATATAAAACTATTACTTAAACTCTGTATTATAAAAAACTATGATGTAAGGCTCGGACAGCGTCACAAAACTGTTTGCTTGTGCCTAAACCATTCAGAAACTGAATACTGTATATGCAACCTTAGGTTCACGGTCACCTGTTTGTTGCACAATTTGCAAATTGTCTTGTTCATATTTACCACGTCTCCCTTCTTGTTCTGTCGAAACCCGAAATACTGCCAAACTGCAGAGGTTGTGTTCTTTTTTGAGATCAGGTCACTTGGTGCGCGACT